TTATGGGAGGATCATCCTTGATTGGGGAACGTGAAAAATAGATGGTTCAGATCATGTGACCACATTGCAGAGAGGGTGCCAATAATGTGGTCTTCAAGTTAACTTCTCAACTTAAGGTTTTTCTTGAGAAGAAATAAAGTTTTTTTAAACACAAAAGCACATAATACGTATAGTGGACAAGGAGTCCACTCTTAAAACGCAATCTACAACAAACACATAAACTTAGGTCGTTTTTGCGAAGAAAGAAACTTTTATTAAACACAAAAACAAAGAATACATACAGTGGAGAAGGAGTCCACTCCTAAAATACAATCTACAACAAAAAGAACAATACAACCATTAATCAGATCGCCCTCTTTGTAACGAAACTAAGTAACCAATCTTGAGCTCTTAGATGTAATGATTCAAGATTGGTTACTTTCAGCTGCTAATGATTCAATGAGGTATTTTTTATTGATTCACGGTATGCGTATATATATATGTGTGTGTGTGTGTGTGTGTGTGTAGGAAGTTTGTTAGCACATGTGTACATAGAGATTGTAGAACTTCCACATTTAGCTTTGTTTCTGCTTCCTGAAACCATTCGTCTGTCATGAATGCCAGGTATTTCCTGAGAGGCAGGGAAAGTGGAAAGCCACTACCCAATCAAGGGAGTTTCTGAAGTCTATCAAGCGATACTACAGCAATGCTTACACTGATGGTGAAAAGCAAGATGCCATAAATTTGTACTTGTTCCTCTCTTGTAGTTCTCGTGAATATAAATTTTTATTTTTAAATAGCATCTTCTCTTCCTTGACACAGAAGATAAGACTTATTATTACCTATTACGATCTCCATCATTTCTTATAAAATAAAAATATAAAATTCCATCTCCATCAATAGCATCTCACTTCCGCATTGAGAAATAGATGCATCTTTGGATATATGGGAACTCTTTGTGTTGCTGATTGCAGTTGTATTGTATTATATTATATAGATTAAAACAATGTTATATTATAGTATGTCATTATGTTGTACTGTATTAAATTTCATTGTATTGTGCAATGCCATATGGCACATTGTCGTAATGTGTTTTGCCTTTCTTAAAATATCTTCTAAAGCTTTGATCTTGATGTGGGTTTTACCAGATTTTTGGGTTACTTCAAACCACAGGAAGGGAAACCTGCTCTGTGGGAGCTGGATTCTGATTACTATCTTCATGTATCTGGGATTGATGACCTTTTCCTTGATACGTGGTAAAATCTCTATGCCTCTTTATATGATCTAGACTTAATACTTTGGACAGGTCTATCCAAACGCATACGCATGTACGCATGCATAGATGTGCCTTGTACAATTCCTGTTCCAATCCTTTTTTCTACTTCTTCTGTAAAGTTAATGTTTCAATTTAATCATCCATTGTTTACAATAAGATACTTGATTTTCAACTTTGCAGTTCACAAGAAAATAATACGCACTTGGGAGGATTGGGAAACACTCTTGCCCCAATCCCTGCTTGCAAAGAAGATTTTTTGAGGATGAAGTTGACATCCTTTGATAAATTGATTGAAAGGACGTGTAGTTCAATAAAGAATGTAAGACTTTGCAGTGAACCAGATCAAAGAACAGGTGGTGGTACTGCAAATTCTAGTGTGGCGCCTGATGCAGCGTAATTATATCTCATCCTATGCAGTTCTTACCCCACTATTTAGCATCCTATTTGTGATTTTTAATATTAATCTCTCTACCTCTCTCTTTGGTTATCCTGTCCACTTGGGAACCAAGGAAAATTCTATTAATAGTCACTGAACATTGGAATTATAATTTTCAGTGAAATACAGTTGAAAAGCCCAAATTGGCTTTTTGGCCAGAGAAAATACGAAGAAAGTGGGTCTGCACCAAAAGTTACTTCACATGAAATAAGTAATGGAGGATCCCGTAATGAGACAGGGGTTGGTGGCTTTTGTGACTTAAATTGGCTTTCTTCTGATGGCAATGATAATGAGGAGGATATCTTCCAGAGGTATGCTATATGAAAATGCTTTTGGGTTGACATAGGAGAACTCCTTCGATTTGTCTGGTTCATTAGCTTATACATGGTTGTTACGACTGTGACCTCTAATGTAAGTGGGATGCTAAGAAGAAATACTAGAAGTATATATCATATTTATGATAAAACAAACCATAACATAAGAAAGTTAGATAATGGAGTAGTCTAATCTGGGTAATTAAGTTGATTTGGAATTCTATGTTACTACCTTGTTGGCATCAACTGTGTTCAACAAAAGAACTTAATTTTGTTTTTAAAAAGCCTATGATGTATCCTATGGAGTGTATGATTGATCATTTCTTTCTCTGCTGTTATTCCAAGGTACCTTTCAATGACATCAGTGGATGAAGCGAATGGGTGGTACGGTGGGACACTGCTAGGTGATCAAGATGAAAGCAGTGAGATATATAAGCACTATGCTGAGTTATGTCAGGTAGAGTACTTCTAATTTTCCAAACACGGACAAGTCTGGTATTATTTCCTTTAAACATTAGAGTTTGACATAAATTTCTGCAAAATAATGAAAGCACTTTATACTCTTCTTCTTGTTCTCTGACAAAAAAAAACAGGGTTTCTCTCAGATTGTTCAGCTGCAAAATATGCGTACATTTCCAATTTCTCCATGCTTCTGCTTTTGTATATATCTTTAAATATAAAGCAAAAGGCAGAGAATTGCGAAACATTCAAAATATCAGAAAATGTCCTTGGTTAATTCAAACATTAAGAATTGAAATTATTAATTAAAGGAGGATAATATGGTAAATTCACATTTTTTCATACTAAAAAAATTTAAAATTAAAAACAAAATCAGATAATAGGTCCTACTTTTATGGAACATAACTACCCATGTTATCTTTTCTTAATTCTAAAAATAAAATAAAAAATAAAAAATAAAACCAATTGGCAAGGGGCTAGTATATATTTAAATATCTCCTATTATCAGTGCATGCATAGCAAAATAGAAGAAACATAATTATAAGTCTTTTCCTCTAGAACATCATTTTAAAATCTGGTTTTCACCCAGACACCACCTTTATCTTCCTCGTTCAAATACAGTATAGAAGTTTTAGTTTCTTGGATGGTATATTTTGTTGGAAGTTTGATGCTCTTGTTCTATTGAGCTTTGATTTACTTATTTGTCCTTTATGACATCTAATTATCACGATTACACAAAACAAAAGACCTGTTTCTTGCCTTTAAATTACGTTGATGTTTAACCAATTATTATAGAGCATTCTTGGCGTTTACAACAAAGTCTATGACAAAATAATCCTCTGCAAGTAATAAAATGATCAATGTTACTGGTTTGTTGGAAATCCAGTTGATAGACCTGGAGGACATGTTCTTTTTCTCCTACTTCTTGTACGTCTCCATTTCCTTAATATTCTTTGTGAAATGTTTGAAATGCAGGGCCCTGGCATTGAGCCTTTCAAAAATGATCGTGAGATGGAGAAGCACTATGCCGATGCTCTTCATATGGGGACAATCAATATTGTAGATGATGCTGCTGTTGAGGTAGAGATGGAAGCCGCTCTCAAGGAATACGATCAAATTGGCAGTGATCTCGGGAGCATCCCTACATCATGTAAATCCTTAGCTGAAGATCCGAGCTGGTTGACGAGGTGGATCATTGGGGAAGAGAAGGTGCAAAGGGTTTGAAGAAATATTCTGTTCAGCTTATATTTATGAAATCTGCTCTCAGATATATTATTCTTTTAATTGTTTTTCGACTATCAACTGTAAAGATAAATGAAATTAAGAGGCAAACACTGAGTGAATCATGCTTGTATATATGTCTAGGATGAAACAAAGTAGCTGTACGATAATGCATGTAAATACAATTTGTTCAAATATAGTTCAACCTCCCATTTGCAATTTTGTGTTTGCTGAATTAGACTTCGTTAACTTTCCTAGAGACAGCAAAGTCGTTTTCTTGTATTGATGTTCCGTCCCAGAGGTTTTGCAAGAAAAATAAAATGCTCTGCCGTATAACGTATTTTTGCAGTATTGCATATAGTGCCTAATTGCCATATTACGTATTTTCATCACATTGATCACCTGCAACAAATGATTCAATAATTTTTTTTTATGTTTTTTTTACTTAAAGCGATAGTTTAAACTATAAAGGTGTCATGGGAAGAGGTTTCTCATGATACCGAAGTATCATGGGGAACATGAGACCACTGGTATGCAAATTAAGGTATTCTTTTTCCCACTAGGCTAGACTTCATTTACAGACCCCATTGACACAAACGATTCAATTCTAATTCTAACATTCTTACTAAAAATTGATAACTTTGTCATACAAGTAATCAGACGTTAAACGTTCTAGACCAAATATAGGCTAGTATTCAAGGTTCTAAAGCCGTACTATGGAAGATGGTATCTTTCTTACAGCCGTATTATTTGCAAAAAGAGTTCACAATGATGCTATCTCTCCCGAGTTTCAATAGATTTCAACTTATAGAAAATCCATGGGATTTCCTCTGAGCATTTTGCAGTCTTACAAATTTACGAAAGCAAGTTTTTCAAGATGTACAATGGACTGGTGAACCTAGCACAAACTCCCTGCATCCCGGAGTATCAATTTCTCAAGATTTGGGATTTTTGAAAAGTTTGGCCATCATGTTAGGCAATGTGAATCAGATTGGGAACCTTCAACTTTTAAAGCACCTGTTGTACAAAACCTAAATAATATGGAAATTAAAATCCAAAATGAAGAGAAACGAAGCATGAGGTTATGTATAACAGCAGAAGGAAAGAGTGAATAATTTGGTTGAGGTTATATTGTATGTACCCCGGAACCCTTCCAAATAGCTTCTCTATAATACATGTTAATGGCAACTAGTGTTGGTAGATTTATTCTATTGCGATCAGATCATCTAGATCACCACTACTTTCTTGCAGAAAGTCATCAACTTTTGATGCCTCCGGAATTTCAAATGGAAGTACACCAGAACTGGATGCCCAAGCATGTTTCCCAGTGGTCGTTGTGTTCATGAACATCCTATCGAGCTTCTCCTCCAATTTAAGACTAATGACCTTGTTACGCAATTATTTACCTATAATTTAAGAAGACATTACTGTTATAAGGAGTTTCATGATAATTTAATCAAAATATGACATTGAAAACTAAAAGAAGTTCACGCACCTGAATTTTATTGCACTAGCATTCATCAGAAGCGTCAATTGTACCAAGTTTGGGATTTCACCCCAAAGCCAGTTTCCTTCCCAATTAGTTCTTTCCACAATTTCCGTTGCTCTTTGAGAGCATCCCAATTGTTATTCCCTTGTGTTTTATCATACTATTTTCCTGTCTCTTTAGTGGATTTAAGCTTTCATTTTTTCCATCCCACTTTCTTCAAACAGTGCCAGGACGATTTCCTGCCTCCACCTCCTTGATACACAGGTTACAGAATATAGCTACACTATGATTATTCCCTGAGCCGCAACTTTTGATCCATTTGCCACATTGTTATTCCTTCCCATTTGGTATATGCTTCTAGATAAATATGACTAAACCCTGAATTCTCTAGAAAGCTTAACCTAAGCATGAAACAGAAACAAAATGTAATATTTGCACGCAAATCAATCAACCCATGTATATGCTTACTTTGCGATGTATAATGTATCAATGTTGTGCAATTTTTTTAAAAGAAAAGGTGGTACAGGAAGCCTGGCACATCTAGGAATGACTATTAGCATAACATTGTATAGATTTTGAGAATGTAAAATTTAAGTCTTGAGAGAGAACAACACATAATTCAAACCACTGTTGAGTTATGAATATCAGTATAACAGACTTTTCTGATAGTAACCCTGTACAGCCGTATATCATTTTGAAAACTATAAGAATAACTAGGTGTAAAGAATCAACCACAAAATAATTGCATAATATATGGTAATGCAAATAACTCACTTAATCAATGGAGTGCAGAAAAATTATAATTGAAATTAGGTCCACAAATACACGTGGATGTGCAAGGCACCATCTTCATTCACACCATAAAACCTTTGCCAGAACTAGGCTAAAATTCAATTCCAAAAAATTAAGTCAAACTTGACAACTAGAATATGTGAATCCCACAGGACAATAAAATGATAACCCAAGTAGACTAGAGCAAAGGAGGTGTCATATTCACAAAACCCAAGAGAAATACAGGAAAAGCCACAGAGGTTACAACACTTCACAGACACAAAAGTACGTTTTTTTTGTTAATCACATGAAGTTAGCGAACCCGATCTAAATGACAATTAGGATATAAGCACAAACTCAGATGGCACACACAATTGAAACTTAAATCCTTTAATTGAGAGGAAGATGTAATTTATCTAATCATGAAGTAGCCTCCCCCGAATCTCATAGTAAAGACAAAACCCTGATTGGAGAAAAATTGAGAGCTACCATGCCTTTAAAATAAAACTGTAATGAGATTAATAAACTTACTGATGACTTGATGAGTGGGTAGTTGCCGTTAGCAATAATTTGTCTCTGATGAGCTTAAAGATCTGCAGCAACTATGTGAAGAAGAAGAAGAAGAGTCGTCTGCTAACTAGTGAAAGCTACACCATACCCACAAACAAAGATGACTACTCTAATGTGAGAGAAAGGGGATTTCATTTACCAAACACTGGCATTATCAACACTTTTAAAGTAAGTAAATTATTTCTTCTGAAAACAATCCCAAACGCCCCCTAATAACCAATGCCGAAAATCAAACGCAATGTTCACAATATCGAACACAGCACAACACAACTCACTCTTTGACTTTGTGAAAATTTGATAAACGTCCAATATAGAAATACGAACCATAAACATAACTTGCAAATTAAACTTATAGACAACGTAAATATTTAATATACATGTGAGGTGGGAACAAGACACATTCAGGTGTAAATTCTAGCATACAAGCATTCACATCATATGACCACAATCACAATACTTCAAAAAGTAACGTGAGGTCAGAGTGATGAAAGGCATCTGGATTCACTTCCCTCTCAGACTATTTTGTAAATTTCGATCAGCATTCAGGAAGAGATTGGGCCGAAGCAAAAGGAGAAAATGTTGCAGCTGACTCACTACAATGTAGTGGATGATGTTGATGACTGGACGAGCTGATGAAGCTTGGTGACGCATTGCTAGGGCTTGGAATGTGTGCAACAGACAGGTATCTTGAGTTCAGGGGTGAAAAAGATGGGTAACCAAAGGAATTGGGGGAAACAAAATAGGAAGCATGAGATCTTTGGGACGAGGCATTACGGAGGTCCACTGAGCTTCTGCTGACACTAATAGAAGGGGACTGGCGGTACGAGGACCTAAGAGACTGCTGAATGTGAGTTGCGCTAGCATGAGAGTGAGAAAGAGAATATGAAGGAGACTGCGACAATGCTGGTACTATCTGCATGGCTGAAGATGATGCTAGAGATGATCTCATAGATGAAAGTACAGAAGAGGCCACGGATGATGATGGGCTGGATGAAAGCAAAGGTGTGGATTCTGAAGCTGGTGGATCACTTGTGTTAGCTCTTGCATCACGCTTGCAAACTGGGCAAAAGGTTCTCCATGAAGTAAGCCAAGAATCCACACAGAAAGCATGAAATTCTGTCAAAATCCAAGGAAAATTACTGTCAGATATGCACTAAATAATTATTAATGAAAATCTACAGCTGAAGAGAGTTGTTCAATATTCTACAGATTGTATACAAGTACCTTCGACATTGAACAACTTGCATTAATCTAGATTTATATCATAGCAGGTCATCAGAGTGGGAGATTTTTAAAATGTTTTTCCCAACAGCTACTTCACATTTATCACTATTCAATGTTCACCACTAACAACGTTCTCTTTACTGGAAAGGTAGCTGAACTTTCAGCATAAGCAGAAATTTAAATTGCCATTTCAAAAAGTATTATCAAGAGTTTGTACTTTGTAGTAAACTTGTAAACAGAAATTTTCAATCTACTAAACTTTAAATAACTCACATAATTAGACACCAGATAAATCAATAATTTATCACAATTTTCCTAATCAATCTACTTCTGGATAGACTTATGCAAACAGAGACATTGACTGACAAATTCAAGACAAAGGCTACAGGGCCTCAATATCTTGTCTAGAATCAACTACAGAATCCAGTAAATGAACTCGAGGGTTGGTGCTAGCCTGTATGCAGAAATTGCAAATATGAAAATGATACACAAATGGAAGCCAAATTTGAAAGAGAAAATAATATACTAATGATATAAAATTTAGGAAGGCTCCCTCCCTTTCAACACTTCTTTAGTGTTGAAACCGTGTCAATAATCCTAATCTTCGAGTGTCAACTTTCTCTAACCATGTTACAAATGCAAAACTATAATGCTTTCTTGGAATCTACAAAGTGTGTCCAATAAATTCTGAGCATGCCTAATTAAACATGAATATGCAATACATAAGTTTCACCAACACTCTGTTGAGGTCTGGATTTGATCCTAAACTTTTCAATGTTTTTGCTAACAATAACTCCCATAGTAAGATTAAACTACCTCCCAGTATCATACAGGACCCAATTTGGACATTTCAGCATACAACTTCATTCAAATAACAAATTAATATTGCCACGATATGTTAACATTAGTTCCTGTGCCACTGTCTAGACCCCTAGTATACCCTTTATAGTCTCTCTAGGTTTAGGAACCCACTATTCAGTGCTTCAAACAACAATAGATATTTGCCCAAAATTTGTATCAGAATTTCCAGACTTGTAAGACACCAAAATTAGGGTTAGTAGAATGCAGAAAATAAGCTCTTCTTTCCTCAGCTAGATAAATTTCTGAGATCCTATATGTTTTCTTCAAATAGATAAGTGACTTTGAAATCCCATTAAGACCAAGCCCATCAAGACAGACCAGCTGTACCATACAATTGGATTAGGTCACATATTAACAATTTCGCAACCTTCTGAATAATGATAATTGGGAAATAACGAGCAACCAAATGTGTCCAACCCATAAACATTAGCTATATCATATATGCACTCAAAATGCTAATGCTAGAAACACCAGGCCACCAAATCAAACAAAAAATGCACTGTAAAGAACAATATTTTGATATGGTATAAGAACAAAAAAAGAAACTTACTATGACGACATGGCAGAATTCTGAGTTTCTCTCCAACACTATAGTCCTCAAGACATATAGCACATGTTCTTGAAGTACAGTTGTCCTCTAAAACAGCGGTAAATATCAAACTTGGCATTGCTTTTACTAAGCGACTGCTCATCCCATGAAATTCTCGGACACGAGAAGCTTGGGGCCTTTCTCGTCTTATTCGATGCCTGCGAACAAAGAAACAAGTAGCCAACACTGCAGACATGGCAAGCAAGGAAATGAAAGAGATTGCCATGATTGACCATGCTGAGTTCTCAAAGCTTGCGATTAGCCACAGCTCCATGTTAGTAAGTCCGGCGTACTTTTTCAGTATCTCACCAGAAGCTTTTGAAACGAACACAGCATGTATTTTGATACCAGCTGAATTTCCTGCCACTGTATTTCCACAAAAATGAGAATTAGAGATTCTAGAAAGGGAAAAAGAAAATTACACTTAAACTAAAGAATTTAAAAGTTATACCACTTGGGAGGACAAAAAAGGTTATATAGAAATAGACAAGAAAGTGCAAACACATAAACATGTGATCACAAATCACAGAACAAGATGGGGCGTCAGTGTATCTTCTACTGCATATATGTATTCTTAAATTACTCATGGAAGGTTCAACAGCACTACAAAGAGTAGCAGATTGGGTGCTGAACTGCAAAATACCATGCTAGCAGGTCAAGAATAGTATTGCCCTTAACTCCAGTTCTCCACCCTTCATCATTAAGGCTAAAAGTACAGTTCTGTTCTAGATCAATGGAAATTTCTTTCAGGGATACATCATGCCAGCATTCATAATTTTCCTGGAATGACTTGAAAATTACAAAAAAAAGTCTACAAGGTAACACTTTGTTAAGAAAGAACTATAGTAGTGCCCAATGTTTTCAAAGGCAAGGCATTTAACATCTTTCAAGGCGAGGTGTGAGCCTTGAGGCATTGAGACGTGAGCCATTCGGGCATTGAATTATTGTAATGTAAAAATATAATATATTTAACAAAGTGTTAATCTATTATTCAAGCATAAATCAGAGAGAGAGAGAGAGAGAGAGAGAGAGAGAGAGAGAGAGAGAGAGAGAGAGAGAGAGAGAGAGAGAGAGAGAGAGAGAGAGAGAGAGAGAGAGAGAGAGAGAGAGAGAGAGAGAGAGAGAGAGAGAGAGAGAGAGAGAGAGAGAGAGAGAGAGAGAGAGAGAGAGAGAGAGAGAGAGAGAGAGAGAGAGAGAGAGAGAGAGAGAGAGAGAGAGAGAGAGAGAGAGAGAGAGAGAGAGAGAGAGAGAGAGAGAGAGAGAGAGAGAGAGAGAGAGAGAGAGAGAGAGAGAGAGAGAGAGAGAGAGAGAGAGAGAGAGAGAGAGAGAGAGAGAGAGAGAGAGAGAGAGAGAGAGAGAGAGAGAATGGCGTGAACTGGAACTGGTAAGCTAGGATTGTAGGAAATCTGAGTCTGCTGGGAAGAGAAATAAGGATAGAAAAAACCAAATTTGGGGCTTGGGTTTTGCAAATTTGGGGTTGGAGGGGAGGAAGAGCTTGGAGGGCCATCGAGTGATAAATGAAGCAAAATGTTATGAATTAAAATAACAAGCAGAGCAGCGTTTAAATGACAGTGAATCCCACCAAATGATCCTTTGATGAAGTTTCCCACCCGGAATCCTCCTGTGTCTTGGGAGCAAGACAGTAAATCCCACCAAATGATCCTTTTTGACTTCCCAAATGGCTCTTCAACTTGGAATTCTAACATTAAAAAAGGTAAATGTTGCAGATGAACTAAACTAATCAGAGGTATGTGCTCTAGGCTGATACTTCATCACTCAATTTAGCATTAGCAGAGATGTTCATCCCACAAACATGCTCACAAACCAACAGAATCTCATTTTTTTCTTCTTTCCCGCAATAAGAAGTATGTGAGCCTGGACAGACTAGTGTATTTTTACATCTTTACTAGCACCTAAATTTAATTGATCCGGAATTGTTGAACAAATATTAAACTTTCCAAATTAAAACACTATGCATGAAAATTGTAATAGAAAAGGGTCATTACTTGAAACCAAGACGCCGCCATCTTCATTGTCATAGACAATTGCAGCTCTGAACCCGGCCTTCTGAGCTCTTCTAACTTTTTCCTCAAAACCACACCCTCCTCTTATGATCAAAACGAAAGGGGAGCTATAATTCGTGCCTTTTTCAACTTTGTTTGTCAATGTCGAGCATGCATCCACAGGCTCTGCCAAATACAATACTCCACATTCCCCAGAACCCTTAATCGCTGGAGCTGAAACAAACATCATTGTCAACCACAAAAATCAAGAAACTCATTATTAGTTTGCCTCCAGCTACTTTTGTTCCTCTTAAAACACATGAAAAGTTAACAAGACGCATGATTTCTATACCCAAAACACCAATTCCCCTTCCTTCCCCACAATTTCTCAGCAAACGAACAGAAATTAAAACCAGAAAAGAAAACCCAAAATTAAAAAGAAAACCAAGAACTCACCAAAATTAGCTTCAATGTCGTCGAAAGAGAGAGTGACATTGTTCCCGATCAGCACCACGTTGGCCTTCGTCATAGAAAATTGCCCAAACAGAAACACCGCCAAAACCACGACCAGATTCATTGTGATCATCAATCTCGAAACAAAAACCCTAGCAATCCTGATAATTGAACTCTTCAAGTAGTTATACAGAAAAGGACAGAGAAGCAAAATGATGATATATATTAGTGTAGTTGCGATGGATAGAAACATCGGTCTCCATTTTCAGAGCATATAAATCTTCTTATACTCTGATTCCTCTGTCATGCCTGATTTCTACTACTTATAAATAGGAGATAACCAATGAGACCTAAAAGGGATGGTTCAATTTTACAGCAACTCGGTTACTTCATATCCTTTGTCCCAAAAAAAACAAAAAACAAAATAGTCACTTCATATCCATATCAGTGTACTATCATATATAATAATAATAATGTTGTGCTATATATTTTCACAAAAAACAAAAGAAGTGGGTTAATATCTAAATTGTCCTTACCAGCCTTGACCTAATTTGCAATATTTAATCTCTATATATTTTATTTATATATGATGGGTTTTTGCTACGGAATCAATCAACCGTTAAGAGCATCTCCACCCACAAGGGCTAAGTCTAAGGCAAGGGCAAGCAATGGCTGCCACTATTCATGTGAATAGTGTCAGCCTTTGCATTTGTGGTTCCACCCACAAGGGCTAAGTCTAGGGCAAGTCTAAGGCAAATACTATTCATTGTACTTTATTTCCTATTTTTTTATACTTTAAACCATTAATTTTGATAATCTTTTGTAATTAAATTTTCGGAAAAGATTTTTGGTTGTCATGTGTCCATTATTTTTCAAACAAGATTTTCGGATGAGAATCTCGGTTGCCACGTGTCTTATTCCAGATAAAATTTTCGGATATTCATTAAAAAAATATTATAATCTCAGATTTCAGATAAGATTTTCATCCTCTAAAATTGTGCCACGTGTCCCATGTCAGATAAGATTTTCAGATATGTTTAAAAAATTATAATCTCA